ACAAAAGTATTGATAGAACATACGAAAAATATTCATTTAATGTGTTAAAAACATGATTTTTTTTTCAACACAGCTGTGACAAACAAGTACACCCTTATATCGTAACGTTATTTATAAGGTTAAATAAGTCCATGTGAATGAAAGTTGAAGTTAATTCATGTCAAAATTAATATATGATTAAACTAATTTATAAATGTTCAATATTTACCTAGAATTACTGATGGATGTTTCATGCACTCTAATTTTATATTGATTTACACGGCTTTTATTAAGTAAATTTAATTTTCTAAATTCATATAATAAATAATTTTTGGAACCTAATTTTATTTGTTTTTATTAATATTTTGAATATGAACACACAAAAATGACAAATAAGGAAATACTTTGATTGCACGAAATTATTTTGATCGTAAAACCCGACTTTATGCTTTAACGATTGATATACAATTTTACATGCGTTTTTTCGGTAATGACAACGATATTTACAAATAAACTACAAAAAAAGGAAACCAAAAATCTAAAAAAATGAAGCTTTTATCAATTCTTACCAAGTCAAATTGTCCAACATCCTTTTTATATGTATTCAAATTTCCAAATAATTTCTTTTTAGCATATAAAAATCAGTGCAGAATTCCTTTAAACATGTTCAGATTGGTGAACGACCCCTTTAAACATGTTCAAATTGGTGAACAATCCCTTTAAACATGTTCAGATTGGTGAACAACTTCTTTCAACATGTTCAGATTGGTGAACAATCCCTTTAAACATGTTCAGATTGGTGAACAATTCCTTTAAACATGTTCAGATTGGTGAACAACCCCTTTAAACATGTTCAAATTTGTGAATAATCCTTTTAAACATGTTCAGATTGGTGAACAACTCCTTTAAACATGTTCAGATTGGTGAACAATCCCTTTACACATGTTCAGATATGTGAAAAACCCTTTTAAACATGTTCAGATTGGTGAACAATCCCTTTTAACATGTTCAAATTGGTGAACAATCTCTGTAAACATGCTCAGATTGGTGAACAACCCCTTTAAACATGTTCAGATTTGTGAACAACCCCTTTAAGCATGTTCAAATTGGTGAACAATCCCTTTAAACATGTTTAGATTGGTGAACAATCCCTTTAAACATGTTCAGATTCGTGAACAACCCCTTTAAACATGTTCAAATTGGTGAACAATCCCTTTAAACGTGTTCAAATATGTGAACAACCCCTTTAAACATGTTCAGATTGGTGAACAATCCCTTTAAACATGTTCAAAATGGTGAACACTCCCTTTAAACATGTTAAGATTGGGTAACTTTCCCTTTAAACATGTTCAGATTGGTGAACAACTCATTTAAACATGTTCAAATTGGTGAACAATCCCTTTAAACATGTTCAGATTGATGAACAATCCCTTTAAATATTTAAGAATATTACATAATTCAACAAAATAATTGACTTATATTCAAATATGAATATGATAGAGATAGATAGATAGATGAATAAGTACATAAATAGAAGATAGATATATAGATAGATAAAAAATATATATAATATATAGATAGATATCAGTTGAAACGCAACAATCTTCTTATAACATTTTATTCATAAACAAATTGTTTCATGCTTTTATGCAATCATCAGTATGAATGAAGATAGATAGATAGATAGATAGATAGATAGATAGATAGATAGATAGATAGATAGATAGATAGATAGATAGATAGATAGATAGATAGATAGATAGATCTTAGTCTAAGGGAGAGAGATTGCGGACTTATCCTGTATACAGGATAATGGAAGGAAGTCTGGTTCCGCCCGGATCTCTGGAACATTGTGGAGCGCGGAGCTAGGTGTAAGCAGTGTCTTCTGCTGTTAGTTCTGTATCTGAATCATCATCATGGAGGAGCCAGGGTTGAGACGGAGTTGTGGATGTCTTGAGTGTTTATAGCTGACTGCCAGGGCTGGGATCTGTAGAAGGGGGGGGGAGAAGAAGCGGGGTTTGACATGTGGGTACTACATGGAGGAAATAGATCTTGAGTACACATACATCTAGAGAAAAGGCTACGGCATTGAGTCGGAAAAATCGTCTTCCTTATATTTCGAATTTATTTTAACAACAGTATACACGCTAAACCATAAGATCGTTTTTTTTTCTTTATTTGTTATCAATTGGTTGCTAGATGTTATTACACTACAAAGAGAAGGAATGTATCCGCACAAACTCGTATTTCCATTTTCTCTTTTTCTAAATCTTTAAATTGAAACAGATTTATCCTCAAAGGCAGAATATACAAAAGATTTGGCAGCTTAGAAAGAAACTTCTGAGGGTGGGAAGCAAAGTAAAACGATTCTTAAATTCTCTGTTTATTTCCTTTAAATGAAAGAGTTGGAAGATATATATATATATATATATATTTTTTAAGTTTCAACAAAGGAGCTTGTTTTTCTACTGAGCACTTTTTTTTACTTTTATAGGAAAGTTAAGATTTCCAGGCAAAGCTGGATTTCCAAGCTAGTGCCACACAATCTTGATTCCAACTTTAAATTTAAAGGGACTGTAAAGGAAAAATGAAAGTGGGTGTAGGATGAAACCAGAGAATCTCAGGCGTTGAACGATACATATAATACATCTATCTGATGTTCCTGTGTCAAAATTATACGAAAATTCATAAATATGAAATTTTGTATAAAAGTAGTAGGTTTAAACAGATCATATTTAGCAAATATGCAACCAATTTGAAAACGATTATTTCCAACAGGAGCCTGAGAATCTTAGGTTTGCTCCTATTATAATTTTTTCATTTGCATTTTGCATTTTAATAGATATAATTGATAATATAATTACATATAGTCCGTAAAGTCCGTATTATGTCTACAGAAAATCAGCCAATGGCAGTGCAGTATACTTGGTCACGTGATTTCCGTCTGTATCTGTTTATTTTAAGCAAACAAAAACATTTACAGTCAGACTGAGAATTTCTTGAAAAAATGTTCAAAGTCTGAAACTAGTTTTAGGTTTAGAACTTGTAGAACTAATTTAACTTGGAAACAGATTTTTACCTTTGGTTCATCAATGTGGTCTCTTTCTGAAATTACAAAATTCTTTAAATGTATTTTTGCCAAGAAAAGTCGAACTTTTTTTTCTTTTTTTAAAAAGAACTTGATTAGAATACAGTTCATGAATAACAAGATTTAAAAAAGCAAATTTCATGCAAGAAGGCGTTTATATTAATAATAACACTTCCACCCGTCTAATCACCAAACTCCCCCCTTAGATCCCCCTTGGATACTATACCTTCTATATATAAATTTGGCTTGTCTGGGTGTCTGTTTGTATCCAATAAACGTCAAAACGGCTGAACCGATCGGGCCCAAATTTTTTGTGGGACATCTATGGACCCCAGGGAAGGTTTATGAAAAATCAAAATTTCAAATATTTGTCTCCATCAAAATTCGATCGTCATTAAATTTTTAAAAATTTTGAAAATCCGCGAAATTTTTTGTGAAAATCCGCGAATTATTTTTGTTTTGTTTTACGATGTATACAAAGAGAACATGTTCAAAACTAATTTAGAAGATGGGCGCGAAGCGCCCTCTAAGGCTAGAAAGAAGGGCGCGAAGCGCCTTGAATTTCTAGTGTTAAATAATTTGGATGATGAATATGTCATGAATATTAATGGATGAATAAAAGTGTCGCGTAGATAGATGAATTGATGTATCTAAATGAATAGTTGGAAAAGATGAGATATCAAATAGATTTGAACGAATATTAATTTGAATCCATAAAAATTGTTGGTTTCTATCGACGTCATATATTGGTTCTAAAGCGTCACATGTTTGTCCAGAAACGTGACATTTTACGTTCTGTACGGGAAGGAAAATTACGTTAATACGGGAGCACTTCTGAAAGTTTAAAAGAGGAAGCATAACGTTATGTTGAGTACGTTACGTTTTTATAACGTTATATGTCTTGAAGGATATTTTGAAGTATTCTCTATCTGTTTGTTTTCAAACCCCACATTATGTAAAGAATATTCCGAATTTCAGGAATTTTAGTACAGGGTGTCCCACATCATATTAGACCGAGAACGGGTCTAAATTACGATTTTCAGGACTAATTAGAACATTTAAATAGAATGAATCATTTTGAAAAATAATATAAGGCCTATATAAGGATTTTCTTGCGGAAAATGATAAGTTTTTTGAGTATTAAGGGTTTATTTGGGTGTTAAAGATTGGAGATAATCTTATATGATATGGGACGCTCTGTACAGTAAATGTATTCTGTCATTTGCTAGAGTTCACACAGTACACTTATTTATAGTCAGTACTCACTTTTAGAAAAGTCACAGGAATCTGATATGTTTATTCTACAGTGGTAGGCGACTATATCAATAAAATGAAGTTTTGATTGGTTACAAGCTTTTTTCGAATTACAAGTTAACAAGTAATCAAAGAGAAGCTTTTTTAATTGACAGCTTCTCTTGACTTCTATGTTTATGTGTATCCTTGCTGTTTAACAAATTGATACAAATCAAAATTGAATCCGAAAGTCGTCTTTATTGTATTGATAAAATGGCCAACCATTGTTTGAAAATAATGTGTGCTATATAAGTTTGCTTTTATTACTTAATGCAATATATTTTCTCTCGCCAAAGATAAAACGATTTTTCAAAATAACTGGAAAAATCAGGTTTTAAGCTTTTATTCAAGAATTGTACACTGTAAAAATTTCTTAAAAAGAATCCTAAAGTTTTTCTCTACAATACTGCACTTCAGCTCAACTAGCCGGTATCTCCCTTTAAATCTGAAAAACCTTGAATGCTTAAAAATGACGAAGAAAAGAATGCCCATAAATTAAACAAATATTTAAATAATATTGTTGTAAATCAGACAAGAATGAAAGGTCAAAAGCTTAGAATAATTATAAAGGAGATGAAAACGATGCCGCCACCAGTAGTCGTCTAAGATCAAACATAAATATAATTGCTACTGTTTTGAATCGGACAAGGATGGAGGGTCTCTTTGAATTAACGTGAACAGTATCTTTAATTATCCTGACTGTACAGGCGGTGTGGGTTGGAGAGTATACTACATCTCTACATGTTCCCGTATGTTCTGCATCCACTTAACTCAATAGCGCTCACAGGTTGGTCAAACTTCATAGGTCTTCACAAATAGATTGTCAAGTACTCGACAACCTATATGGGTCTTCAGATATGCCAAACAAAACAAAAAAACTCTGGCTTTGTAGCTCATTACTTACCACAAGTTGAAACACAGAATCTTCATATCTTTATAACCAGATATTAAAGCTCGTACTTTCCATATCTCAAATTTAAAATGACATTAGATATCAAATAGTCAAATTTTGAAGTATCAAAGGTTTACACAATATCTGATACGCACAGATATTTATATAAGTACTAGAAATTCAGGACACTTCGCGCCCTTCTTTTAAGGCTTTTAGGACGTATCGCGCCCATCTTCTATTTAAACTTTTTATTGTGGCTTTATCTGTGAGCATCTTCTCTTTGTACAGTATAAAACAAAAACAATAAAAGTTTGCGGATTTCATAATATTTGTTCGCGCATTTTCAAAATTTTACAAAAATAAAAAACTTTTAACACAAATTTTTAAAATTTCAATCATTCCTAACCTTCCCTGGGGTCCCTAGATGTCCCACAAAAAAATTGGGCCCGATCGGATCAACCGTTTTGACGTTTATTGGATACAAACAGACAAACAAACAAACAAACAGACAAGCCAAATTTATATATAGATTCAGGCTGAGAGCAAAACTATATAACATAAAGAAAATTCGTTTTTGCCCCAAACTCTAAATAATTTTTAAATCCCTATATCTTTGCCACCTGAGGGTGAAAACCTTCGACATTTTAAATTTACACTATTTCTTTGTTTAAATATTAACGTTTCTACGACATCGGGTTGCAATGTTAATATGTAGGGATTAAAAAATCAGAGTTTGTGGCCACTACTAATTTCCTTTTTTCAAATACAAATCTATCTCAATTTTTGACTTATGAGGGATTTGCGAATCCTTCACAATATTAATTTTCACACAAAAACATATTTGCAATAATATCAAGCAAAAATCCATCTAAAAAAAGATAAATCTCTATTTCAGCTTCGATCTACATGACAATGGCCATAGCAATTGAAAGATATATTGCTGTCTACCATCCACTTGATTATAACAGGGAGAAACCAAATTTGAATTATTTTTCTTATTAAAAGGGAGTGACTGTGTAGACATGGTAGTTGATCTGGGAGTGCAGTATTGTTGTGCAGACGTGCCGCGCCACCAGCTATTTGGCAGGCGGGCGCCAAGGACAATTTTTAAATCGAATTTTTGCTCTTGCTGAACAATTTAACATCGTAAAAACGTCTAATAGATCTCAAATTATTCAGAAAAAAATTCTCTACAATAGTGTATTCTCAGCTCAGCTATCATGTTTACACGGTCACTCCCTTTAATCCAAGGAATATACAACAGGAAATTTCAAAAATGTATTGCAGTTTCTGGTAGGAATGTAAACACACTCAATGCTGCCTAGGCTAAGCTTGCAAGTTTATGTTTTTCAACTTGTTAATTTAAGATACTTGCTTATTTTAAAAATGAAAAAAAAAAAACGTTTTTTTTCAATAATTCGTTAATAGTATTTAAAAACGGTTTATACTTTATGTGCATTGGTATATATGAAGAGTACACATGTTGAACTATTAAACCTCTTCACTTTAAACTTTAAAGTTCATCTATTTTCAATACAACCACTTTCTCTAAACTTTCTGAAGAACTTTTAAAAATAAAGAATTTAAAGTTTTAAATTTCTACCAAGCATGTCTTCTTTTCCCCACTTGATTGTAAATAAAAACTAGAGGAGTTACGAGGTCTCAAAGCTATGCCTGTAATTCGACATGAAATATTTTTTTTAAACTTTAGTTAATTTTAGTTTATTATCTGTTTGTAACTTTAACTCTGTCTTTCTCAGCTGTTGTTTCAAGTTTCTTATTTAAAAACAATTAAATATATTTATATAAAAGTACTCTTGAGCAGGGAACTTTTGAAATTGAATTTGGCCAACGAAAGATTGCTTAGATAAATCATTGATTTTCGGCTTTACCCCACCAGCAACTAACGTTTTTTTAGCCCTTAACATATACATTGCAAAATTTTAATGCGTGCACATCTTGGTTCGCAATGATCTTAAGCTATGGAAAACGATTTAAATCATTTCTGTGCATTCAAATCTTTACAGCTCTGGGACTGGATTAGATTAATAGAGAGACTAGGTTAGTACGAGCTGAGCCAATCTAAAGAAAAGAAAAGTGGTTTAATTCAGTCTACATAGTTCAGCTTCTTCTCTCTATTCATTAAAGCTGGTCCCTGGTTAATGATATTAAGTTCAGCTCAATTTATGGGACATAAAAGTAATTAGGGTAAAATTAAAAATGAAACTATTTTCTCAGAAAGTCTCAAGAGTTTAAAGAATATCCGGAGAGAAACCTAATGATAATTGTTTTCCGAGTTCTTTGTTTTTCATTGTTTTTGTAAAAGTAAAAACATACACTGGGAAAATATGTGTGTTCACATTTCACCATAGAGTATCAATCGGAAATTAAGAGTGTTAAAAAAACACTTGACATACTTTTTTCTCTCACAAGCTTAATTATTATGTGGTTAAACGATTATCTAATTTGGTTCATCCTGCTCTTTATCTCTTGGCCCTAAGGGAAGCAGATAATAAAATTATTGATCGTTAATTAGAAACGATTTTGTTGTTTTATGCAACAAATCATAAAAAGAATAATTTTGTAAAAATGTGAAATGCTCAAATTTTCTAATCCTTACATCTTTGCAACCTGAAAGTGTAACCTTTGATATTTCAAACTGGAACAATTTGGTCAATAATAATTTATAGTTTGAAATATCAGAGGTCTATAACATTGGGTTGCAAAAATCAGAGTGTGTGAGAAGAACTCAGTTCCTGTAAAACGGAAACTGCTAAATTATTTACGAGTACATTTTAAAAAGAATATGACATGGAAAAGAAATCAAACAGGTCAGTAAGTGGCTGAAAGTTTTGATATGCATAGAAAAAAAAAATTCTTAAAAGCGCTCTGATATGTAGGGAAAAAATATATGCTTTTAAAGTCCAAAAAATACCAAAATCGGTTCAGAATTGAGATTCTGGCATCAAGTACTTTTATTTTTAGATACACCCTGTACATATACATATACGCGATATAAATGTTCTCATATTCTAACATGTATCTCATGAGTTCTGATTAATATTTGGTTTGGTTTGGTACAGAGTAATGATGGACGCTACAACACATTCAAGACGACTTGCTGGATACCTCATCCCTGTCTGCTTAGGAAACTAATTAAACAAAAAATTAAAAAATAAAAATTTCTTCAATATTTCAATAAGATGCAGTTTATCTAAGAAACTGATCAGAACTAATGATCAGAACTGCTTCAGCTTAAACCGTGCATGGCGCACAATAAAATGGGTTGAACTACGTCTGCGCAATTCAGCCACCTCCCTCTATTTATAAAATCTAATTCTTAGATACATCTTTTCAATTTTATTTGTGAAACTTTGAGATTTCCAACCATGAGATCAAGTGCACAAAGTTTGAAATATGACAGGTTTACATCATCACCAGGTCGTAAAGATTCAAAATATTAGAGTTTGCGTCGAGTGATTAATTCATTTCATAAAAAACAACTTATTTTGAAATATGAAATGTTTTTTTAATTATTTATTTAATTTTGTTGCAGTTGCCATATTGTTCAACATCCCAAAGTTTCTGGAAAGCAGGGTGAGTAAGAAAAAATTTATAGTTAAAAATTTTTAAAGATAAATTTGCATCCCCTTCTCCCTAAAAACCGTTATGAAAAATAAAATATTAAAAAACTTATGACAATTATGTCATTGTCAAACTATAAAAAAACCTTGCAAAATTTTCACATTTTCACTTTCTAGAAATCAATATATTTTGTTGTTGTCCTGATTCTAACATTTGAAAAATCACTTAATTTTTCAAACTGAACTTTTTCAAGATTTTACTTTTCTGTCACATTTTGCCTGAATTTAGTGATTTAGTTTTATTCTGTTTTATTCGAGGGATCCATTCTTTTTCAAAATTCTTTTTATCGTCTTATAAATTAAAAAAGCAGTTATATATTTCTAACATTCTCTTTGTTATTTCGAACAAAAATTTTCTTAATTTCGAAATTCTTTTTATATATGTTTAATAATACAAACATATAATTATCTATATAATAAAACCAGACTTTCGTATAAATGTTCCCTCTGACCGTCTAAACGGCTGGACCGAATGGGCTGATTTTTTTGTGAAAACTCATGGGTGGCCGGGGGGTTTCAAAGGAAAAAAAGTTCAATAAAAAAAATTAATTCCATGGGCAAAGCCTGCCAGTACATTATATATCTTTTGTTTATGTATGCTTTTTAAAAGCTCAATTGTACATTACTATTTCAGAATAAATTGAGTCATTGACAGCAGTGGAACAAAGTTTAAAGGGACTGTCCTCGTCACATTGCGTTTCTGTCGTATATAGATGAATTCCTACTGTTGAAGAATGGAGTTGAAAGATAAAAGACGACATTTAAGATTAACTTCTTAAAAATATTTTAGATTTTTGTTATATAACTCTGAAAAATAGTTTTCGAAGCAAATATGTTTACAAAATGTACATTTATACGCAAAGTGTCAATATTTACAAGTAAAAATGTACTTTATTACAACAGTGTTAAATCTTGACTTTGTTCAAGTTTAATTTAATTTACTGAAACATGAGATGTAATAATCTGGTGTTATATCAATTGGACTAATGGTAGAATGGACTAACTCTCAGTTTTACTTAAGTGTTCTGTTCACTTACTTAATTTGTGCTTTAGCCTATATAAGTTTTAACTGGGCTTATAATCATTTAGAAAAAATGTTTAAGTGCAAATTTGAAGGGTGTATAAGGAAATTTCGATATCCTAATCAGCATGACAAACATGAAGATGTGTGTCAAAACGGTAAATAATTAATTTTTAATCTGAAAAACTATTTGTTTGATCAAATTTGATAATGTAAGACTTTTCTGTGGATGAGGATTGAATTATGGATCAATTATAACCTAATTTGAATAACCTGAATAAATTCAAAGCATGTTAAATGCTTTTTTATTCCCGATATGGTGCAATAAAAATCAATTAAACATTAGTTCAGATTGTCAGTACTCCAATTGATATAGCATCTCCGACATTGAATGAATTAAATGTCGTCCTCTATCTCACAACACATTCCTACGAGGAATTTGCTATATACACAGTGTGTCGTATTTTCAAATGACTCGACATTTAAAGAGGGCATTTCTGATTAACAACAGTATCCTTGAAACCTTAATCTGGGAGATAACGTCGTTGGACACGCGTTGACAAGTGTGTTTAATTTCTCCAATATTTCTGATTAACAACAGTATCCTTGAAACCTTAATCTGGGATATAACGTCGTTGGACACGCGTTGACAAGTGTGTTTAATTTCTCCAATATTTCTGATTAACAACAGTATCCTTGAAACCTTAATTTGGGATATAACGTCGTTGGACACGCGTTAACAAGTGTGTTTAATTTCTCCAATATTTCTGAAACAAGAAATGCGCATGTCACTTTTACAGAGAACCACAAATAAAAAATAAACAGTTTTAAAAACACAAAAAACGTTGATATCTAATTCAGTCTTGATCAGATAAATGTTTTTAAGCAATTGTACCGTTGTTTAAGCAATTGTTGCGAAATTACGTATACAGTCCCTTTGAATAGAGAAAATACAAACACTTTTATCATAAAGAAATGTTCTATTTTTTATAAACTTATCCAACAGAAATCTAGAATCTACGACATTGGGCAGCAAAGATATAAGGATTTTGTTGAAAATACTCAATACTTTTAGATTGTTTTTATCGGAGAGAATATACATCTTGATATTACTGAACTTAGAACCTCGGAGCTCTATGTAACGTACTACCACAACTGGGCCAGGTACAACTATTTAACAACCTTCAGGGGGGCATTGGGTATGCTGAGATCTATGTAACGACTTCTAGAATTGGCACAGGTAACAAAATAAACTATGCTTATGTCTTAGTTAGGTTTTACTTGTTTACTTGTTTACTTGTTTACTTGTTTACTTGATTTAAGATTTTTTTGGGTGGATCTGTAATTTCATCCAATATTTTTTCCCCACATTTTGATAGTCTTTGCTATGTCTATATGTAACGAACTAAATTTAGAATTGTTCATTAGCTCTCAATTCAACCCCTGATTTCTTCTTGGGCAAGTTCTATCTATTCAAAATTAAGGTTTTCACAAAAATCTGATTTTAAAGGTACTGTAAAGGAAAAATGAAAGGGGGTATAGGATGAAACCTGAGAATCTCAGGTGTTGAACGATACATATAGGACATCGTCTGATGTTCCTGACTCGAGAAATTGATATAAAACTGCGTCAAAATTTTACGAAAATTCCTGTATATACAATTTTGTATAAAAGTAGTAGGTATAAACAGATCATATTCAGCAAATACGCAACCAATCTGAAAACGATTATATCCCACAGAGCCTGAGAATCTCAGGCTTGCTCCTATTATAAATTTTTTAATTTTTATTTTGCATTAATTGATATATATAATTGATAATATTATTACATATAGTCTATATAGTCTGTAGTACGTCACCAGACCATCAGCCAATGTCAGTGCAGTATACTGGTCACGTGATTTCATCTGTATCACGTGACAACAATACTGCAATGCCATTGGCTGAAGTTCCCGGTGACGTAATATAGACTGCAACAAAAATTTCCATTTTTCAATTTCATTAATAATGTTATTTAATAAAGAAACTTTAATAACAGATTTTTAACTTCGCCTTAAAACCAGAAAATATAATTATTGCTGTTATTCATTTTTATGATCGGCTTATTCTTTTTCAATAAATGTACAAAATTATCTTCTTCATTTAATATAAATGGACTTTCAAGGTCATTTAAGTTCTATGTTTGATTTATTTGTTCAAAAAATTATGATTTTTTATTGTGGTTCTCTGTAAAAGGGGCAATGAAAGAAATCGAATAAAATTTATGTCTTTTTCAGGCAGAAAAGTGACGTTATTTTCCTCACTGTTTATTTGATAAAAGTTTGAAAACAAATGAATAATAAATAAAATCCATTTTTGGAGAAAAACAAAGTTGGAACTCCATTGTATATACTATTGTTAAAATAAATTCGAAATATAAGGAAGACGATTTTTCCGACTCAAATGCCGTAGCCTTTTCTCTAGATGTATGTGTACTCAAGATCCATTTCCTCCATGTAGTGCCCACATGTCAAACCCCGCTTCTTCTCCCCCCCCCCTCTACAGATCCCAGCCCCGGCAGTCAGCGGAGAACACTGGAGATGATCACAACTCCGTCTCAGGGAGCAATCCTGGCTCCTTCATAGTGATGATGCAGATACCTAGCTACCAACAGACGATGCTTACATCCAGCTCAACATTGTTCCAAGAGTTCCAAAATTATCAGGCGAACATTGAGATGCATTCCCTCATATTCGAAACTGATAAAACCGCGATCTCTCACCCTGTTCCAAGGGTTCTAATTCTCCTCTACAAGAGGATACTCACCCTGTTCCAAGGGTTCTAACTCTCCTCTACAAGAGGATACTCACCCTGTTCCAAGGGTTCTAACTCTCCTCCACAAGAGGATAATCTCAACTCTAATGAGTTTAATAATGAGTTTAATAACCTGGAGAGAGCAGAAACCTGTTGTTCCAGTTCTAGTTGATCTGCACCACCAATATGTAGTTATACACTACCATCATGAAGTTATACAAACACCTTCCAGCTGATATTCGTCTATAGTTTCCTTATTAATTTCTAAACCAACCAATTTTAACCCCACTTGGGAAAATATTTCATAACACTTTTGTTTTTCATAAATAAAGATTGAAATACCTTTAGATCTCTTTTATTTTATCGTATTGACTTTTTTAAAGTCAACAACTATATAGGGAGCAATGTACAATTAATTTCCTATAGCTAGATATTTCTAAGTCCTGTGATTGTATATAAAGTTATTTCGTCAATCTATGGTTTAATTCTGTTAACAGATTATTTCAATATTTCTTGACCCCTTCCAGTTTTAATATCTTTGTGTTTTTGTTTGGAATATTTTTTTAGAAACAAATATTTGTATTAGGATAACGTTGTATAAACAAACAGTGATCTTTCATCTACATAGACAATAGACTTTAACCTTATCATTTCAATAATATTTTTTTGCAGTCTTGGATATGAAGATTTTATTTCTAGTTTATCTAGATTAATGGTTCTTGGAGTTGTTCCTGTTCTCGTCATCTCATTTCTTAACTTCAAGATTTACACTGCTGTCAGGTATTCAATATTCAGTTGTCAGGTTTTAGATACACAGCTGTCAGATATTCGATATTCAGATGTCAGGTTTTAGATACACTGCTGTTAGGTATTCGATATTCAGCTGTCAGGTATTCGATATTTAGATGTCAGATATTAGATATTCAGATGTCAGGTTTTAGATACACTGCTGTTAGGTATTCGATATTTAGCTGTCAGGCATTCGATATTCAGCTGTCAGGTATTCGATATTTAGCTGTCAGATATTCAATATTTCAGTTGTCAGGTTTTAGATATTCAGCTGTCAGTTATTCGATATTCAGCTGTCAGGTATTCGATATTCAGATGTCATGTTTTATATACACTGCTGATAGGTATTGGATATTCAGCTGTCAGGTATTCGATATTCAGCTGTCAGGTTTTAGATATACTGCTGTTCGGTATTTGATATTTTTTTTACGCTGAATTAGAGTAAATAAATTATGTAATGTCCAATTTTCTTTTTTCTCTCCAGGGAGGGGGGGGGGTACTTCTAAAAAATAAACACCCCTGACTTTTCATGGAGTCGATCTAACAAAACATTTAAATGCTAATACAACATACGATATAATACGCTTCATCATGCTTTAGATCAATCTTAGAACTTTAAAATAACATGAATATTGAATAATATAGTTGCCAAATAATTATAAGATTGTAAATAGTCCTTCTTAGTTTCAGGAATAATCCCTTTTTATGCTTAGAGTAGTAGGTGTGTCATCCAATTGTTTATTTCCAATTTTGGTTTGGAAACGGATGTGATAAAACACCATCTGCGCATAAACTTATATCTTACACATCTATGAAATAAAGATATAAAGTTGTTGAAGGGAAAATATTTTCGCATATTTTTATAATATTAAGTTATATTCGAAACCACAAGAGAGGGGGGTATCGGATTTACAACAGCACCCTTTAAGCCTTATATTTATATATCGTTTTTCTCTGAACATTGATAACTTTTTATTTCTTTACTTTTCAAAAAAGAAAACGACGATATACTACCCATTGTTCAAAGTGTACGTGCATACCCCTCTTAAAATTAGAACCAGTCCCTTTAATAATATATGAGCCCATATTGGTCCAGTGTGTTAGATCTATCTGGTAAATGGATTGTAGAGCCATAAATCTAGAGGATTAACTGTGAAGATCAGTTTTGTAATATAATCCCAGATTTTACATATTTTACATTTATTTAACAAAATGGCGGACTTAAGGAACACATTCATGCTGGTTCAACACTGTTTTATTCTCGTCTCACTTCATCACTTTTATAAAAATATAAATCTACAGGGGGACCAGAGTATGAGACTCTTTAAACTTTAAACTTTATTTGATAGAGTGGCATTAACAACGGTACCCAGAAAAGCTTTGTCAGATCAAGTATGAATTAATAAATATCTTTCTTTTTGAAAAATGATTATTTTAATTTGTAGATTCTCATTAAAAGGGTCATGCGCATTGCTTATTCCAGCAATGGAGAAATTAACAGAATTAAATAGTTTTAAAGCTAGAAGAACGACGTTATCTCTCACATTATTGTTAAGATTAAGGTTTCAATGATCAAAGTCACAAAGATTTAGACTGATGCTTCCATTTTCATGACTGGGTCAACTTTAAAGTGTCACACGGTCTTGGCCATTGATTTTACCTCACTAACTACTTTTAACTGTTTCTGTAGCCCTTTCCATCTTTATCTCAGAATTGTTAAGCACTAAATTTTAGCAGTAGTTGTTAAGAAGCAATTGGCAAATTTTTATTATTAAAAATGTTTTTAACTTATTATGGTCTGTAAGCTTATTCTGGTGTGTAAGCATAACAATTCTAATGTGAAAACTCATATATCTCGGGAATAGATAGTATTGGCCAGGGTTTAATTAAGGATTAAGATTAAGGTTGAGATTAAGTCTCCACTTGGAAATTGAAAAACGAGAGTATAGATATAATTTTAAGTGCCCCTCCATTTAAAAATAAAATGTGGTATTTTGATTCACAATGGTGTCCTTTAAAGAGAGTGACCGAATATGTAAGGTAATTGAACTGAGTATGCAGTGTTGTGGAAAACTTCTGTCGGATTCATTGAGACATATTAAACTTTTTAAAGATCTGTAATTCCTGAGTTTGAGCGCAAATTCGACGTTCAAAACTCCTACTTTGGGGGTGGATACGTTTTTAGATTTTTTTAAAAATTATTAAATAACGACAACGAAAAATAAAGTAAAAATTATACAGTAATCTAATTAGATGGTTAGGAACATATTTATCAAAAGAAATTTGTTAATAAATAAATGCTAAAATCGATTATTTTGTTTTCATTATTATATTGTATTTCTTATCTTCTCTGAATTTATGAATTTTTTCGCAGAGTTCTTCAAATTCTGAAAATGTCTTTTCAATAATAATTCTAGAAAATCTGCAAAAAATGTTTGTGAATAATTGGTAACCAGTGTCCGAATTTAATGAATTTAAGCCGCGTCTCAAATCCCCCAAAAACCGGTTTTAATGTTAATATTGTTTAAATGTAAATCAAGAATTCTGTAGATAAATAAGGACATGTCCGTCGTTGATCGGTCCAGGTTTAAAAAGTAATGTTGTAAGTCAGACACCCCCACTCCAAATAAAGGGTCATTTATAATAACGTCTATTTTATGATCCTCTTTCGGGGATATCATCCTAAAACTCAACAGTAACAAATTAATTTTTTAATTTAGGAGCAGGAGGGGAGGAAGGAAGAGGTATGATGAACATCTCAGCACTGTACTTATGATGATAGTTCTAATCTTCATAATCTGCAATCTGCCCAGGCACATTTATTCAACACTTAGAATCAAATTATTCTAGAGTGCTCATAAGGATATTCATATTTAGTTTAAACCAACGACGTAAGCGTAGTGGGTAAGTATAACAGACTGACAAGCGTAGTGGGTAAGTATAACAGGCTGATAAGCGTGTAGTGGGTAAGTATAACAGGTTGACAAGCGTGGAGGCTATGTACAGGCTGACTAGTGAAGTGGGTAAGTGCATCATGGTAGGTGGAGTGGTTCAGTGTAGGGTAAGTACAGGGTGACAAGCGTAGAGGATAAGTACTGGGTGACAAGCGTTGAGGGTAAGTACAAGGTGCATGACAATTGCTTAGAGGGTAAGAACAGGGTGACAAGCGTAGAAGGTTAGTACAGGATGACAAGTGAAGTGGGTCTGAACAGATGACAAGCTTAGAGGGCAAGAACAGGATGACAAGCGTACAGGGTAAGTACAGGGTGACAAGTGAAGTGGGTAAGTACAGGGTGACAAGCGTAAAGAGTAAGAACGGGTGACGAGAGTGGTGGGTAAGAACAGGTTGACAAGTGAGGTGGGTAAGTACAAGGGGACTAGCTTAGTGGGTAAGAACAGGTGGACAATAGAAGTGTGTAAGTACAGGATGACAAGCGTAAAGGGTAAGAATAGGGTGACAAGAGTAGTTTTTTTAAAAAATGTGTTTTATATGTACAGAGAGAAAGGTTGAGTCATTAATTAATAGTTTAAAGTGTATTGGGTTCCGTTAAGTACTAATGACCATGCATACATGATAAGTCTTGCTGGTAAATAAAGTTTGAAAAGTTAAGTTGGTAATTAAAGGATGAATCGTGAAGTTAGTAAGGACTGGATAACAAGTGTAGTCGGTAAGAACAGTGAAGGTTATAAGTAAAAGAAGAGAATAGACATTGCAACTCCCGTTATAATGTTAAAACTTTTAATATCCTCCTCTCCCCCCCCTTCTGATTCCTTTGTTTAAGATTTAAAGGTTTAGTTTGATTTATCTTAAATTGTCAGGAATACTTCACTGATGGGATTTCCAATCTGGAGTCTTATTCTAGGCTTCTGTAGTCAGGTTAGTTCATCATTCAGATAAACAGAGAATCCGCCACATTCTTTTTAACACATCAGACTTTCTCGTCAAACACCTGTAATTCGGGTTTTATATATTAAATGAACATGAATTCGCTCCGTATTTTAAATTATTGTATGGTTCGCATGGAGGCTTACATCTCAACCCTGGAAGGTCAAACTGTTCATCCCACTCCTGGACAAATTTCGTTTACTCCTTAGTGTATTGCAGTTGCCAATATGTAAATGAAATTCTCTTAAATTTGTCCCAACAAATGCCTACCCTGGCATACAGACTATACAGTGGAGGCCATAAAACTGTGGACAAGGAGTCCTATTTTTTATTGATAACTGAAAAAAACGTTTTAACCGTAGGTTGTCTATCAAAGTGTTGAGTTCAAATGTTATGTGTAAACTCAATTGATTTGTTTCATGTTCATTGTATTTTTAAAATCAAAACTTGGGTCTACCTTAGGCCTCTCTTGGGTCTCTCTTGGGTCTATCTTAGGTCTCTCTTGGGTCTCTCTTGGGTCTATCTTAGGTCTATCTTAGGTCTATCTTAGATCTATCTTAGGTCTATCTTAAGTCTCTCTTGGGTCTATCTTAGGTCTATCTTAGGTCTATCTTAGGTCTATCTTAGGTCTATCTTAGGTCTATCTTAGGTCTATCTTAGGTCTATCTTAGGTCTATCTTTGGTCTCTCTTAGGTCTATCTTGGGTCTATCTTGGGTCTATCTTGGGTCTATCTTAGGTCTATCTTGGGTCTATCTTAGGTCTATCTTAGGTTTATCTTGGGTCTATCTTAGGTCTCTCTTGGGTCTATCTTAGGTCTATCTTAGGTCTATCTTGGGTCTATCTTAGGTCTATCTTGGGTCTATCTTAGGTCTATCTTAGGTCTATCTTGGGTCTATCTTAGGTCTCTCTTGGGTCTATCTTAGGTCTATCTTATGTCTCTCTTGGGTCTATCTTAGGTCTATCTTAGGTCTCTCTTGGGTCTCTCTTGGGTCTATTTTGGGTCTATCTTGGGTCTATCTTGGGTCTATCTTAGGTCTCTCTTGGGTCTATCTTAGGTCTATCTTGGGTCTATCTTGGGTTTATCTTGCGTCTATCTTGGGACTATCTTAGGTCTATCTTGGGTCTATCTTGGGTCTATCTTGGGTCTATCTTGGGTCTATCTTAGGTCTATCTTGGGTCTATCTTAGGTCTATCTTGGGTCTATTTTGAGTCTATCTTGGGTCTATCTTGGGTCTATCTTGAGTCTATCTTGGGTCTATCTTGGGTCTATCTTGGGTGTATCAATCGTCTGTCTGATCCACAGTTTATCTTGGGACCCTTTGTTGTCTTGAGAGTTCAGTCAAGATTCAAGTTCATTTAAAAATGAATGAACTTGAAATCAATAAAAATAGAAGTTTATTTTATTTTTTCCCCTGAGAATAATGAAAAGCGTCAACAATTAGAAAGCCAATTGTTCTTAAAGTTCTGAATTAATGAACATTTATTTGGAGTCAGAACTTTTGTATTGTGAATTATCTTTATCTTAATTTTAATTCCTCTTCGATATATCTTGGTGGACATTGCCTGCAATGATAACATTAATTGTCGCAAAATTCGAAATTTGATATCGAGATCAAGCGTTTAAGATTAACTAAGCTCCACACAATAGTTGCGACCTCTGAGCTGGGAACTATTTGATACTCATAATCCCAATAGATTGTATGATCTCTATATCCACTATGGACACACTTGATTCGAGGATCAATGCTTTAACCTTTAAGTTGTACCTTCAGGGTACAATTACACTACGGGATATCGAATAAAGATTAAATTAATCTGCAGATTAAGAAAAGATCGAGATCAAACATTGATCTCGATATTCAAAGTGAACTCTGAAGGGTTTAGTGTCTGCATTCACAACGGTACTCTTTAAACCTTTATCTGTTCAATAATGTGGAAGGTATTGCATGTAAGGTAACATGAAATTGCGCTTACTGTCCCTTCAAGTTCATTAATTTTTCTTTATTGGAAAACATTTTAGATAAAAGACTGGAAAACAAACTTAAACTATCTTTAATAAATATAAACCACACTTTTCGTCTAAAAAACAGTTGTCTGAACTCTAAACCGATTTATTTTTTTGCGGTGTAAAATCTTTTTTAAATAAAATTTCAAAAATAATTTTAACATTGTTTTAGCATGTTTTATTTGCGTTTTAAAATCATTTGTGTGTTTATATCTTTTTCCTAATAACTCATGAACTGTAGACTTGAAACAATTTTCATTTTTTTCGGCATTAATAATTCTTGAAATTTTCAAGATGTGGAAAAAAAAATTTTATAGCTTACGAGTTGTTTGTTTTAACCAAAACTACGAAAATATATTCAAAAATTAGGCTTTTTTAATTTTTAAACACACCCTGTAGAGTTTAGTGGGTTAAATGAAATTAAAGTTTTTAAATGATTTTGGTAATGAAATAGTAAAATGATTTCAAGGAAATTAGTTTCAATCTGAAGCGCAATTATAATTCAAAACTAGAATTATAAATCAATAAACACAATAGAAAACAATAAATTTAAATTAAAAAATTTGAATGAATTTTGATTGATTGGTTGATTAGTTTTAGTTGATTTTTGATTCGATTTGGTTGATTATTTTCTTAGTTGATTTGTTTCCTCATTGTTTTGTTGTTTGGGTTAGTAGTTGATAAGTTCGACTAGTTCTAGCATTGAAGTATTAATAGATTGGTTGATAAATCAATTGGTTGATTAATGAATTGGTTAATTAATGAACAGGTGGATTAATGAATAAATTGAGTAATGAATTGGTTGATTAATGAATAGGTTGATTAATGAATTGGTTGATTAATGAATAGGTTGATTAATGAATTGGTTGAGTAATGAATTGGTTGATTAATGAATAGGTTGATTAATGAATAGGTTGATTAATGAATTGGTTTAGTAATGAATGGGTTGATAAATGAATTGGTTGATTAATGAAAGAGTTGATAAATTATTTGGTTGATTAATGAAAAGGTTGATAAATGAATTGGTTGAGTAATGAATTGGTTGATTAATGAATAGGTTGATTAATGAATTGGTTGATTAATGAGTAGGTTGATAAATGAATCAGTTGAATAATGAATTGGTTCATTAATGAATTAGTTGATTAATGAATTGGTTGATTAATGAATAAGTTGATAAATGAATCAGATAAATAATGAATTGGTTCATTAATGAATTAGTTGATTAATCAATTGGTTGATTAATCAATTGGTTGTTAAATGAATCGGTTGATTAATGAATTGGTTCATTAATGAATTAGTTGATTAATGAATTGGTTGATTAATCAATAGGTTTATAAATGAATTGGTTCAGTAATGAATTGGTTGATTAATGATATGGTTGACAGGTAAATCTGTTGAAAAATTAATTGGTTGATAAATGAATTGGTTGATAAATGAATTTGTTGATAAATGAATTAGTTGAGTAATGAATTGGTTAATGAATGAATGAATCAATCAATCAATCAAAGAATGAATTAATCAGTCAATTAATGAATGAATTAAACAATCAAATAATGAATTAATCAAACAATTAATTATTGAAACATCATTTAATAAATTAATCAATGAATGAATGAATGAATGAATGATAGTTATGTTTGTATATCTGCAGGTTCTACTGTGTGTCAACTCCTCAGCTAACCTCTTCATCTACAGTTGTGTTGGAGGACAGTTCAGGTTCACCATTAAACTGTGGAATAGAAGACGATATTTGAGCAATCTTATTTGTTTTTTGCTGTTGTTACAAAAGCGAATCGTTTTTTTGAGTAAGTTAAAATTCGACTCATGAAATTAAATGGGTTTGTGTACACTGAACGATTACATTGCTGTGGTTCATGTTCATTGGATTATTTAAAATCATATAGTCGTCTTTTCAGACCTTGAATGATACGTTTTGAGTGAATTCAGTTTTGGTTATTTAAAATCATATAGTCGTCTTCCTATTCCACAGTTTTCCAGATTTCAGACCTTGAATAATACATTTTGAGTGGTGGATTCAGTTTTAATTATGTATGATTTAAATAATTATCAGCTTACTAAAATACTAATTTTGCATTATCTTTCTATGTTTCTTTGCAATTCCACCATCGATAATAAAAACATTCTCATTTTAAATTAGACATTACTAGTCACGTGAATTTTTTGTTTACATTAAACATCAGAACAGCCAGACGCAGCCCAATTTTCAGTAAAATTTTAGTTTTTAGTTGGTTATTCCAAATTAAAAATAAAAGATTTGATTTAAAATTACCCCCAAAGGTCACAGGTTAAATAGATTAAAACAGTAACACTTGTTTAACCTTAGAACCAGCTGAACTCATTTTGATTATAAGTGTTCCTGAAGGTTGTTGGCAGTTTGAATAGCCAATAAAAACTGATTCAAATTCGTTTAATCCTTATACTTTTAATGACAAAATCAATAAACATTTAAATCTTGCTGGTTTTCTTGTTTATAATCGTGAATATGGTCTAGTAAATTAAAACAAATTATTTTTGTCCTACTTTTATTCTTGCAAAAAGGCAATTTTAATCTTAATTTTAAACGGTTGCCAATGATTTCATAAAAGTTTACAGATCTGATCATTAATTTCCATTTTTTAGGCAAATTATGTGCAAATATCTAAGCTGTGGAAAAGCTGACTTTTGCAAATGCCCACAGGCGACAGAGGTAAAATTAAAATTAAACAAATATCTGGATTGGTAATGATTTTTAAAGATCTTGGTAAAACATGAAAAATTGGACATCAAAAACCTGTAACTTCCTGGAGAGAAAAAAAGTTTTCAAAATAAAGGGGGGGAATTTTTTCAAAGAAAATGTACACCCCTCAACAAACTTTGCTCAGCTGACCAGTGACCATGGTCAAGAACTGTAATGAGAAATACATTTTTTTGGTCTCACAATTTATCTTTATTTTTAACTCAGTTCAATTAAAATAAATCATTTAATATAAAACTCTCCCATCTACATATCTTGGTAACCTTATCGTAAAAACCTTGGATATTTCAAACTTTTATTATTTGTTCTAGAAACATTCATAGTTTTCAAATTTCAAAGTTTTAAGCCAATAGGTTGCATAGATCTAAAGTTAGAGTTTGTGGAGAATATTCAGCTTCTTTGCTAAATACTTGTATTTTTTTTGTGAAAAAATGTTGTATAAATATATTAAAATATTTAAATAACATGGCCATTAAAAATTAAATTGTTTATTTGTAAATCCGATTATAATAAATATTCTCAGAAATACTATCATTTCAATTTGAGACGTATTAGAATAATTTTTTTCTGTATTTTTTTAAAGAGAGCAAAATGCCCATCGACTTAAAGAATATTTATATTTCCATTTATAAGATATATTTCTGTTCTGCAGAAGAAATCCTAGCGATGTGTGTAACATATCGAAATTGACTGAAATCAGTTAAACCTATCTAATACTCTTATAGAATTTTAATAAGAATAAGAGCCATTACCTGGTTTTTATTGCCGAGACATTTTGCTTGCCGGAACCCAACGGTTTAAGAAAAATCTAGCGATGGGTAGCGCACAGGGTGATTTTAAGAAAAGAAAACTGAAATATATACCTATACATATATTAAGACAAAGATACAGTGATAACCACAAAACTGTAAAATAGTAAGACGAAATTTTAGCAATATTGAAGTGCATTTGGTGTTGTTAGAAAGCAAATAGCTTTAATAATAAGATATTAAATCAGTAATTAAGTGAAATAGGTCAGTTTACACTGCATAATTTGAGCAATATTGAAGTGCATTTGGTGTTGTTAGAAAGCAAATACCTTTACTAATAAGATATTAAATCAGTAATTAAGTGAAATAGGTCAGTTTACACTGCATAATTTGAGCAATATTGAAGTGCATTTGGTGTTGTTAGAAAGCAAATACCTTTACTAATAAGATATTAAATCAGTAATTAAGTGAAATAGGTCAGTTTACACTGCATAATTTGAGCAATATTGAAGTGCATTTGGTGTTGTTAGAAAGCAAATACCTTTACTAATAAGATATTAAATCAGTAATTAAGTGAAATAGGTCAGTTTACACTGCATAATTTGAGCAATATTGAAGTGCATTTGGTGTTGTTAGAAAGCAAATACCTTTACTAATAAGATATTAAATCAGTAATTAAGTGAAATAGGTCAGTTTACACTGCATAATTTGAGCAATANCCTCCCCTTCTCCCCTTCTCAATCTCCCTCAATGTACGTTAATGCATTCAGAGGCAGAAATATCCAGACATAGTTTAATTCTAACCTAAATCTAACATTGAAATATTTTTTCAACAAAAAATAATTTTGAATGATTTGCAAAAATGTTTGATAAACAAAAAAAGAGATTTTCATGGTTGACAAAAAAATTCGGAGGCGGGGAGTAAACTTTAATAAATTTGTCTAAATATTGATTTTTATTTTGATCTAGGTGGTTGTAAACATAGAGGCAAGAGGAGATAATCAACATGAGAATATTATCATTAACGGAGATCCTGATAAGATTAATTATGCTTAGTTTAGTAGATCCTGATAAGATTAATTATGCTTAGTTCAGGAGATCCTGATAAGATTAATTTTGCTTAGTTAAGGAGATCCCGATAAGATTAATTATGCTTAGTTCAGGAGATCCTGATAAGATTAATTATGCTTAGTTCAGGAGATCCTGATAAGATTAATTATGCTTAGTTCAGGAGATCCTGATAAGATTAATTTTGCTTAGTTAAGGAGATCCCGATAAGATTAATTATGCTTAGTTCAGGAGATCCTGATAAGATTAATTATGCTTAGTTCAGGAGATCCTGATAAGATTAATTATGCTTAGTTCAGGAGATCCTGATAAGATTAATTATGCTTAGTTCAGTAGATCATGATAAGATTAACTATAGCTTAGTAGATCATGATAAGATCAACTATAGTTCAGTAGATCATGATAAGATAAACTATAGTTCAGTAGATCATGATAAGATCAACTATATAGTTCAGTAGATCATGATAAGATCAACTATATAGTTCAGTAGATCATGATAAGATCAACTAGAGTTCAGTAGATCATGATAAGATCAACTATAGTTCAGTAGATCATGATAAGATCAACTATATAGTTCAGTAGATCATGATAAGATCAACTATAGTTCAGTAGATCATGATAAGATCAACTATATAGTTCAGTAGATCATGATAAGATCAACTATGGTTCAGTAGATCATGATAAGATCAACTATAGTTCAGTAGATCATGATAAGATCAACTATATAGTTCAGTAGATCATGATAAGATCAACTATGTAGTTCAGTAGATCATGATACTATCAACTATAATTCAGTAGATCATGATAAGATCAACTATAGTTCAGTAGATCATAATAAGATCAACTATATAGTTCAGTAGATCATGATTTGGTAAGCTATCAGAAGCTCTGAAGATCTGAAAAAGATAAACTGTACTTTTCTCCAAAAATGTTAAAAAAATCATTATGCATAGAAAAGATCATAAAGTTCGTGTATGCTGATGCCAGGATTGATCTTTAATGTACACTACTAACGTACCTACCTATTTCTAAAGATCTGAAACAGATAAACTAAAATTAAAGATTGCCAACCCTGGAGAAAATCAGCCATGTTTGAAAATGATTGAAAAGAAGAAGGGTGCCAAGCGCTATAATAATTATATTACATATTAAGTAAAAATTTGTATAACCGTTTGTAAAATTGTTGAACTTTGTTTTATTTGGTAGATTTATAAATATTGTAACTTTTAATATATTGTTGAAAGCTTGTTCAAATGACTTGCTACTTAATGAAAAAGCTTACCAACGGTTTTAGCCAAAATGCTTTTCTAAGAGATTTTAAAAATATTGTTTTTGGGAATTTAGAAAATTAGCTTAATGTAACAAAAACAAACTCATTAAGCATTACATTTGAAATATGTTTAACGTAAAAATTGCACCATAAATGCTTAAAACCAGGGAACAGGAATAAAGGGAAAGGAAATGGCGCTGGTCCGGCAAGAGAAAGCCAGTCGCACTGCTTTGCAGACCAGTACAGTAAACTGACACACACTCTTCTGGTACAGACACACAACATGACTACAGTCAAGGAAATTGTAGGTACAATGTCGTCGATTATAATTAAATTAGAATAACGAGTAGTTTATTGTAAACTTTAATAAAATTATATTCTTTGCATGAAAATTTGGCTTTATAGTGTTGACTTAAATATGTAAATAATATATTAAATGTATATTAAACATATGTTTAAGTAAACAATTAACAATAAACAAATGTACTCTCCTAGACTGTACAAATCCCGAGATTCTTACGTACTGTATAAACCTACAGTACAAACTTTTGGTACAGTAAACTGACACACACTCTTTTGGTACAGACACACACACATGACCTTTCCGCCCCCTGCTTAAAACGGACCCAATTTCTAGATAGTAGTTATGAACAATGAAAATCTATTAAACTTTCAAAATTTAGGATACACTAGCTGAAGTGTCCTGCGCTGCCCGTGGAATTTTTTTAAATCAAATTTTAAGAAAATTCCAATGTTGGTAAAAAATAATTTCGAATAAAAAAAAATAATTTTGAAGAAAAAAAACGATCTTTTAGCCTTTTTTACCCCGAGGGCGAAGGTAACTAAGGTAACTCAAGGGTTCCTTAAAAAAACGTCAGCCCATTCGGTCTAGCCGTGTGGCCCTCTATCGCTGGCATATATATATATACGCAAAGAGCTTTATTATATAGATTTGAACTAGAGACAAAGTAGATATACTTATTATGGCTTTGCAATCTATTTCTGGAAACCATTTCTTTGTTGCAACAAGATTTCCTCTCAGTGCAGTCATTAAAAAACTCATAAATTGTATATTTTCCCTTCAAAATGTACGTTGTAAGATATAGGTTGCTTTCTGTTCTAGCAACAATGGTCATGCAGTTGGGATGTTAACGTTTTTATTTTTTGTAAAACGATCATTTCGTTATGAAAACGACGACGAAAAATCGAAAACGGGTTTTTAAAACCATCGTTTTTTAAAAAGTTTGTTTTTTAAAAATGGTCGTTTTTATAAAAATCGTCGTTTCGTTAACGATCGTTAACGACGAACCTTCACAAAAAATCGTTAACGACGACCCTTCGTTAACGATCGTTAACGAAGAGAGGAAATCTACCTGAAATCTGTACTTATCATTGAGTAGTTTTTAAGAAAATATCATGAAGTTTTAGCTCCCCCTCAACTTTTTAACTTCATTTAAGACGACATTCAATAAAGTTGCATGTATTTTTTTTAAAAAACGATCGATTTTCCAAAAACTACCGTTTTTATAAAGTTCGTTTTCAAAAACGATCGTTTTCAAAAACGATCGTTATTCGTTTTCTAAAAGTTCAAAACGAGTGGGTCGTTTTTAAAAACGATCGTTTTTTCCCAAAAACAAAACAATCGTTCTTGAAAACGATTGAAACACGAAACAAAACGATCGTTTAACGATCGTTTTCAAAAACGATTTACAATCCTACATGCAAGGCGCATTGAAAGAACAGTATAGATCGTGCCCAGTGGTTTGGCATTGATAGAATTTTAAATCTAGCTCAATTAAAAATGTAAAAAATACAATTAAAATCATATTATAACAGATATAGCTTTCTTGCCATTCTGATAGGAAT